GAGCATGCTTTACCTGAGGACAGAGATTGGCAGGATGATTGTAGTGGAAGAACAAAGGGACAGGAGAGTTAAATGTGCTAGTAAAAGGGAGATTCAGTGATGGGTTTTGCAGTTTGGACCAGATAGGGAGGGAAAGGAGACCAAGGGATGCTGATAACTGGCGGGGAGGAGCACAGGGTAACTGACAGGAAGTTTCAGTGAAGTAAAAAAAGCAGGTGTAATAGGAGTGAGGGAGAGAGGACTATCACCAGACGGAAAAGAGAATGTGATGGGAGAATGAGAGGTTGGGGTTCAGTATATCAGAGAACCATGATAACAGCAATGAGGAGGTCCAAGATGTTGTTTGTGGTGTGAGAGGTTAAGAAGGAGTGGAGAAAAGGTTTTGAACTGAGGGACTTTGAACTTGAAGAACTAGGACATGAGATGAATCACTGAAAAAAACTTGATGTCACCCAGGGTAATGGCAGACAAGTAGGAGAGGAGCAGCCCTGAGCTGGTCGCCATGGTCCTCTACATGACTGGGAAAGTGTTAGGAGGCAGATAACGGAACTGTGACAAAGGCAGTCAGAAAAATCATAAGGAGATTCCACCTAGCCAGGGGGTCAGGGAAAGCTTCCCAGATGCACTGACACTTGAGGAGACTTGAAGAAGGAGAAGGAGTTCACAGGGCAAGAGAGAATGGAAGGGCATCGCAGGTGGAAGGAAAAGAATACACCAAGGTTCTATGGTAAAGGGAGCATGGAGACAAAGCGTTGCTGAAAGAAGGGCAGTGTGGCTGGAGTGACAATAGTGAGGAGAGAGGCATATGATGGAGGAGAAGTAAAAGGATTCGGTTACCAAAGAGATCAGGTGGTTGGGAGAGTATCCAAGAACTACTGAATGGAGGTTTGAGTAGCAGCAACTGGAACCTTGCTGAGCCACAGTGGTGCCCTAGCCACACATAGTGCAAGGTCTCTGAGGGGGCAGCACAGGTTTGTGACATGACTGACTAGGCTTAGGACCCAGCCGGGGCTCAGGATCTGATTCAGTCTGTGCCCACAGGACCAAAACAAGCTAACTGGGGCTTCAGTCTGGCCCACTGTGATTACCCAACAAAGTTCCTGGACCATAACATGCAGGAGGAGCCATAGGCAGCTGGGAGCTACTTAAAGGAGCCGCTCACTGGCTCCACCAGTCACAGCAAAGAGAAGTCCAATCCTCACTGTGAGGGGATAATCCCACTTCCTGCTGCCTGGCTGGCTGGGTGGGAAGGTCCTGTGTCACATCACAACAAAGACTAGCTTCCATGTTCCATGAACTCTTGCCCCTACCCCTGTGGCCACCCGTACACACACACACACACACACACACACACACACACACACACACACACACACACACACACACACGCGGCCAAGGCAGGGTTGACTTTTTGTCAAAGTGGGGCAAATGTGAGGGAAGGGGTACCCCATAGCACCACAGCAGACTTCTGGGGGCTAAACAATTGCCCCCACCCCTGTCAAGGGTATTAAGGACACTTCTTTCAAGTTAGGGGTTGTTGAGGCTTAGTGTCAATTCCCCAAACTTGTGTTGAGCCCACTCTTCACTGGGCTCTGACCTGGATGCTTTGGTGCATGCAAAGATCTATAAAGAAGCAAGCTCCTGCACTCAGGGACAGTTGACATAGGAGGGGAGAGTCAAGAAAGCAAAGGGTTATGGCAAAGCTTTTAAAATAGAGGCTCACACAAAATGTTATGGGAGCCTCCATGATGGAAGGATGAATTTGAGCTGGAGGTCAGGGCTTGGTCGAAAAGGTGACTTTTGAGCTAGTCTCTGATGGATGGAGAGAATATAGACAAGAAGAGATGGGTGATGAGACAAATCAGAGAGAGAGGCCTTGACCACTGGGATGAAGAGATTGATTTATATGCTGAGGACAGCAGGAGCCACAGAAGAACTTCAGATGAGGGCAAGAGTGAGGCCCAATGGAGGGCGCAGGGGCTCTGAACGTTCCCACACCCAGATTTGAGTTGCAGCTCTGCCACTGGTCAACTTGGGCCTGGGCCAAGCCACTATTCCTCTCCAGCCTGTGTCCTCTTCTGCAGGGCAGGATCATACCTGTCTCCCAACATGGTTAGCTAACCTGATGGAAGGGTGGGAAGGGACTTTGGAAGTAGTGGTAACATGCTATATGCCACATGGCCAAGGACGTACAGTCTCTCAGCCTCAGATCACATCAAGTTAGGGCAGATGCCCCTTTCCCATATACATAACTGCAGCACTTCAGGCCTCCTTTCAAGATTTCATCCTCAGTGTCTTGGAACGTCCCCAGGAGGGTGTTTTGCAGGGCTCAGAGCTCCCTTGGGTCTCTGATTTTCCTGCTGCCACAGGCTACTCCAGGCCATGGCGCTGCCTGCCTACGCCCTCTTGGGCTGCTGTTGACGTCACTGTCACCAATCTGCCCCCAACTGCTGACCTTCCCCATTACCATTGCCTGCAGTGTCATTTCTGTACCTCTCCTACCAAAATTCGCCCACTGCTGCTCACCGAGGCTGCCAGGATGCCCTCTGCCATTCTGGCCTGCTTGCTCTCACTTTGTTTCTCAGTCCTCCCTTGGGTTTCACTCCTCCAGAGGGTCTCACAGCAAAGCCGCTTGGAAGCTGGTCGCTTTCCATGCATTTTCTCAGTCATATATGAAATGGTTTGTTATTGTGATCTGAACTGTGACTCAGGACGCCTACTATCACTGAGTGGGAGAAAATGCCAGTCAGGTAGGTAATTGTGATGCTAGGCATTGGTGCCCAGAGAGGGCAGACCCAGATCGGAAGGCAGGATGACGAACCTGGGGAGGGATTAGGGTGAAAAAAAAGAGACATGAGCAGGAGAGACCCTGAAAAGAACTTCTCCAATTTCAGAATCTGGCCTTGGACGAAAAAATGAGACAAGCAGAGATAGGCTACCTGTGCAGGCCACAACAAGGCTCCAGTGACCTTCCAGACATCTTTAACACAAGGATTTTTGGCCATTAACCCTCCCCACCCTGAATCATTGCTTTCCACTTCAGGCCTGTTGCCAACTTGGGTTCAAGTCCCCCAAACTGATGACTAAAGACATTGGTTTCGAGATAAGGAGATAAGGGAGGAGCTGAGGGGGAAGGCAGGTGAGGTCATTCTTGCCACCTTGGCCAAGACAAGGACCCTGGGGACAGAAACAGTGGATTGAGTACAGTGCAGACCTTGGTAGCCTCCGAGACCACCCCCAGGCAGAGTCCAAAAGATGGGGGAGGGACGATGCCTATAGGTTTATTTGCTTCCAGAGTTGGCACTTCAGTCCAGCTGATCTCAGTATAATATTAACTGCCATTTCAGCAGTGTTGGATGCCATGGGCAGAAAGAACAAAGTACAGATGAGATACATTTGATTTCTAGTTATGTATTTGGCTCAATAAACATTTATATAGCACTGACTCCTTATGGCAAGTACATTCTGAGAGCTTCGCCCACTTAATCCTCACCACACCCCTAAGAAGTTAGTACTATTATTACCCCACTTCACAGGTGAGGAAACTGTGGATATACAGAAATAAAGTCACTTGCTCAGGAACATGCAGCTAGTGGATGACAGAGCTGAGATTGAAACCCTAGCAGTCTGGCTCCTAGGCTCACTGGTGACGGCAGGGCTGTTTGTCCCAGACAGCTGTCTTCAGGGTCATCTGCTCCATGACTGTCCCCCACATGATCCCATCAAGTTGACCTGCTTGCCTTTCAGGATGGCTAATATGGTACAGAGCAGGAAGGAAGGGCCTTTGAGGGGGCATTTACCCAGTTCCCTGGTCTCTGGGAATAACTTCATTCTCATTCTAGAATGGAGTGGGGAAGAGGCAGGGAAAAGATAGCGAGAGTGTCAGCAGTCCCAGAATCACACAGGGTTTGGGCAGTGCTTGTCCCCAGTCTATCCTGTGAGGCCCTGGGCTCTGCTCTCAGCTTTTATTCCTGGAGGTGGAGTTCACTGAACCTCCTCATTCATTTAGACTCCCCTCCTTCAGAGTCCCATGAAGCCCCCCTTTCCTTCTTCAAAACAGTCTATTTTATTGTATTACGATGGATCCTTTGAAAGCTGCCTTAAACTGTGGAGATAAGCAGAGTGTAAACACATTTAAAATAAGATAAAAAGGAATGGGGCCCTCCAGACTAGGTTAGCACATGTCTATTGGGTCTATTTGTCTCTTGGAAGTATTCTTTTCTGGCCAAGTGTTCCAGAGGGCATTTACTGGGAGCTGCTTTGGCACTGATGCAACAAGCTGCCCTCTGATGCAAAGGATGTGGAGACAAGGCTGGCCTCAGTTTCTCCACTTCCTCCGTGGGGAATCATGCTGGTTAGCAGTGACTGCAAGGGAACCAAAGCCCTGTTCTAGAAGCCATGGTAAAATGTCCATGTCCAGTTAACCAAATTTGTCTTCTGGAGTCCCCAAACTCCCCTTTCTGGGTCTTCTTCCCTCTTCAGTGGTGTCTCCTTATCCTTCAAATAAACCTTTGGGCCTTGTTCCCTTTCAGGTGTGAATGGAGCCAACACTCCCAAGAGAAGGACTGTCTTCCCCTCTGCCAGTGGCTAGCAGCACTTTTACAGAGTGGGCTCTCCTGAGGGGTCTCATCCCAGCTCAAGAAAGTAACTCTCCAGCTAACTAACCTCAACTTCCCTAATGGCTGCAGTGGGGCTTTCCAAGCACTAGGGAGAGAGGATGCTGGCTTTTTCTGAGACAGGCCAGCTCGAAGGAAGAGGAAGAATAAACATCTATCTTGAAACAAAAGTAGGACTATAGCCAGAGCCCAGGGTGGGGGAGCTAATGGGAAACAGCTTGCCAGATGGAGGGGGACAGAATTCCATAATGACTGAGACTGGCTGCTGTACAGGGAGCTGGTAGAAACAGGCTGATTGAGACCAGATGCTGTTCCTTTGTCTCAGAGATCTTTGGACTCTGACCGGGGCAGGCTCACACCTTACCCCAGGAGACTGGAAGCCAGCAGAGACTTCTCTGCCCATTTTGACTCCTGGAGCACTCAGAAAGAACAAATCAGAAGCGGACTCTCCATCCATCAGCCTGACACCTCCTCCCTAACGCCAGCCCCCGCCCCCTGGCTGTTCCTGTCCCAGAAAGCCCTGGAGGGAGAGGCCCCGGGAAGGAAGAGGCCTGCCCACTCTCCACTGTTCTTCTAGCCACCCAGCACCAGCATCTGGAGACACCATGGCCCTGGCTTCCTGGGGCTGCTGCTCCTGGCTTATCCTCCTCTGTGGTATGTGCATCCTGGTCTCAACCTCCCCTCCCATGCTGGGAACACAGGTCCAGCAGGAGAGCAGCTCTGGCCTCCCCTTCTGGGCTTAGAAAGGTTTGGAGTAAGGGCTGGGGCCCAGAATATCTCTTTATTTCTTGCTCCCCATCTCGGTCTTGAGGAAGAACCCCAGGGCCAGTGCTCGGGGCCCTCAAGACTCAGGTCAAGTCTGATTTGGCATGTTTCCATTCCCATCTGTTAAAGAAAAAGTAATTATGGCACTTGTTAAAAGAGTAAGGTAGATTTTATTCAGGACTGTTGTAATAAGGGCACTGCAATAGGGGAGAAAGATCAGGCTCATCTCTGAATTCAGCAAAGATGGCCAATGAACAGAGTGAGGGGGTCAGAGGATGGAAACTCCCTAAGAGGAGACACCAAGGGTAGGGAGAGTCTTGATACACTGACTTAATAGGATTCTTGTTGCAAGCAGGACAAGGTGATCAGATATCAAGGGTGGGGAGTGAAGAATTTGATAAGGTATCAAGGGTGATCAGATATTAAGGGTTGGGGATTCTCTCTAAACTGACTTAGCAAGATTCTTGCTAAGACTGGGAATGCGGGCCCAGTAAAAACAGGATGGACATGAAGGCCAAAGTCAAGGCCTAATCAAGAAGAGGGCTCAGAGGAGGCTAACTAACTTTGCACTTTGTTATCCCTATGGTGCCTTTTGTGTCCTCTTTGGTCACAACAAAGTGCCCAGCTTCGTGTCTTCCACCTCCAGCCTTAGGGAGGCCCCCCTTCCCTTTGTTCTCTGTCAGCAGAACCCTGCTCATTCATTCAGCACCCAGTTCCTGAGCACCTCTCCAGTGCCAGGCCCTGTGCCAGGGACCACAGAATGATTCAGCTACAGAACCTGACCTTTGGAGCCACAGCTCAGGCCTCAGAGTAAAGCAATCTGGGTGTTCAGAGGACATAGGTTAGCTGATTCTTGCTTCTCATGTCTTAGCGCCACACTTTTGCCAGAGATCTATTCCTGCAGAAATAAGGATTCCTTTTCTTAAATCAACAGTATGTGTCTTATCTCCCCCTTGATTTTATGAGACCAAGACAGCCAAGCAGGGCATTCATGGTGCTAGACCCCTATCCACCCTCCTTCCACCTGTAGCTCAACCCACTAAGAAGGTAAAAGTATAGTATCTCCCCATACTCAGGCCCCCATTACCCTTGGGAGAGATCCTCCCTAAACGTTGAAGGGCTAGAAGGAAGGACTCTCAGAAACCATTGGAGTTTCAGGGTCCAGAGCCTCTAGGACTTAGCCCAGTACTTGGGCAATGCTCAATGAATACTGATTGACTCTTTGGGTCACACCAAATTTGGAGCAGAGCCCTACCTGGGCCTTAGCTTCCCCTTCTATAGAAAGTAAACAATAATACTCC